AGCAAAACTTGACGGCCGCGCGCTGTTCACGCAAATCAGCCATTACAAAAACGACGAGTACGAAAAATAACTTTTAAATAAAATATCACACCAACGTAACACAACCTTCCACGATGACGCCCGTTGGCATATTGAATGTTGAGAAGTATATTTATACGCCCCTACTGGAAAAAAGTCGGTACTACTAAAACTCTGTCCCACAAAACATCAGTTCGGTTTCTTTTGGGTACACCCTCGTTTAGTACGTAAAAAGATACGGAACTTCCGTCCGACGATACTTTATTTGAAATAACTATCAAAATGTTCAACAGTCTACCTTTAGTTAGGTCCTCATTAAAGTTTTAAAATATAGGTTTTAGAAACACAATATAAATATTTAAAAGGAAGTTATTGTGTATTTTTGACAAATATTTTGTATAATATTACATAATACATAAAACAAGAAAATGATTTTCATTTCCGTGATATATTAACATATTATGTATCGTTATTATTACAACCTTATAGTCACTGTACGTCGTAGTATAAGTTCAATATGTATATGTGTTGTTAATTTCTCGTGTGATAAATAAACAACGTTTACAAAAGTAATAATATTATCGTTTATTTGGTGCCTGAAAATAGGCGCAATGCACGACTCACGAAGCAATGTAAAAAGTATTTTTTTTTCTTTTTGTAATAGGTATGTGTATATATTTTTAAAAATAGTCATAAAACATAATAATATTGTTGTACTATATTATAAGTGTAAATATTTTTCATTTTTTCATTTTTATTTTTCTTTAAACTTTACCCTATTCACAAATTGTATATGTAATTATTATAATATAACATAGTCGACTGAAATGTGTTTTGTGAACCCTTTTTATGTTCTTTTGGTATAACGATGACGAAGACGACGAGGGCGATGCATGTTTAATAATATATATTGAAAACGCAATTAAAAAACATTCGTATACCTTACCTATATGACAAACGTAGGAATAATAATTAAAAAATAAGGACTATTTTTACGAGAGTCTCGCTTTCTCGTTGGAGGTAACCATAAAGTATACATTTTTTTTATTTACAGTCCACGCACCACGTTCCGTACCAATTAGTACCCATATAACTACAATATAAGCATGAATGAGCTATGTAACGTATAATATGTTTTATGAAAATAGAAAACGAGCGAGTCGTTTATCGCAATCGTGATGGCGTCCTTCAAATCAAGATACCGTTATTTTATCGTAGTACGTTAATATTGTAAACAAATTAGTACATGTACTATGTGTTCCTCGTCCATCATCTATGATGTCCATAAAAAAAAATAATGTGTAAAATATCGGTAATTGAGGACAGTAATCGTGGACACTATTATAATTTTTCACTATTGCTGTTATCAGTAATTTAAAATGTGTGCAGATATTCAACTATACAAAATATGGTGAAAATGACCACTTACTTATTATTTAGGGTCCCTAAAAATCACTATGGGGCCTATATTCTATTATCTATGTTAGACACATCCGGACGCCAGAGACGCATATAATATTCGTTCACTGATAAAGTAATAAGCAAAAGTCTATGGACCTATGGTTAACGTCATCGATATAAAAAATTGAATAACATTTATTTTGTTAAAAGGATTCAAACAAAAAGATTTAATTTCTTTTGGATATTTTAATACTTTCTAAGGAGGAAATGTTGCCCTTCTCCCAATGGGTGCCTATGCCGATAACTGCCTATCTCTTTGGTACCAAGTGTGAAGGACTTAAATCAATTGTATACCGTTTTAAATACGAGTAAATGGAATTTTGATAGTTGCTAATGCCGTAATGATATAGTTTCTAAAAAGTTAAATCGCTAAACTGCTTAAACTTTTCATAAATCATTCTTGTGGTGTTAGAAAATTGTATTCATAAATAAAATCAATTAGAAGGTAACAATTAAATCCCTTTTATTGTTTTTTCGTTTTTGTACATTTTTTAAGTGATATTTTTCAAGGCTTTTTAAATTTTACAAGTTCTTTTTTATGGATTTTAAGAAGATATAATTCTTGCCTCTAATTATGACAATCGAGTTATTAATTTTGTATTAAAATAAATTGTCGGCAAATACGTGCATAAAGGTATAAAGGGAACGACATGCCATCTGCAAGTGACGACTATGATACAATACACGCATTCTTCTAATGCCGAGCGTCCTTACTCCCCGATAGGTTAGGTTAGGCTTTATTCCCTTTAAAATCTCTTCCTCCCCGAAATTCGGTATTTAGATATTTTTGTATGAAAATTATAAAAAAATGTCACAACAGAACACTTTTAGTTCGCCAAAGGTGGACTACCCATTTCAACCCCATTTGTTTTCATTCAATACCGACACGGTCAACACCAAAAAGTAATATGAGTAAAAAAAAATAATAAAAAATTGGCACGGGCAACGATGGGCGTGCAGCTAGTTATAAAAAAAAAAAATGTATTCAAACCTTTCTTCTCTGGGACCAAAGATATTATAGTCAATAGAAAATTGTTCTGAGGTACAATTGCGCACGCTTGATCGTAATATCCGAAAAAAAAAAATAAAATAGTTAGTATTATACTTAAACGTATTGATAAATTGAAAAGTGACACGTGTCGACGGCCCCGCCCGACGACTTGTATTCGAAAACACAATAGTTTTCGATCGAACATAGTAATGTTATTATAACTGTATTGCCGTGGGATATAACACTAACGGAACGGAATAGGTTCGAATAAGAGTTAAAATATCCGGGAATATTGATTTCCGATCAAACGTTTTTTTTTTTTTTTTTGATTTCTTGAAAAATAATACGCTAACGGGAGTTCCAGCTGAACCCTGGCCGACAAATTTGAAAATGTTCTCCACAAAACTAGTGTGTGAAGGTTTACGAGGTACGAGATTGCAACAGATCTCACATATTAATACATATGAATACAATTTAAAAAAAAAAAATATATCAAGTTTCGAAATTATATCTCCGACGAGGATAATATTAACCGCGTTAACATGCCGTTTAAATTTTCGGAAGTCGCGCGGCAATAGTCGTGCTCGGGAACACCGATTTGTCTGGGGGGGTGTGCGTATAATAATAATAATACGACCTAAATAATTATTCGAGCATCCCATGCGCGTCGGTTTGAAATTATTACCGCGGAGATCAGCCGTGTGTAGTAATTCACTCGGCATAAATCACGCGCTCGAGAACGGAGAGTCCGGCGGTAATAATAATATTAATAACAACTACGTAGTGTTTGCATGCGCGGATCGTTGTTAATTGTAGACGCGTACCTATTTGAAATAATATAATCGTCGAATCATTCCCATAGGTGTTCGCCGAAAACGTTTGGTTTATTATTGATAGTGAACCAACGAAGTAAGTACCGATCTCCAGCGTATGAATGGTATTTACGGCCGGGGCACTTACCCACACACGACGATCTGACTGGTGAATTTCTTGAAAGATTTTAATTGAATTTAGTATTTCCCTTCCTTACAATCATTGTGGGACTTATATAGGACCACAAAATAAACAGACGTGAAAAGTTTGCGAAAACCAGAACTATTTTTGGATTCGGAGTGTAACGAGGGATCTTATTCGTTATGTTCTGTATGTTTAGCTTTTAGGTTCTGAGTAGGGCGAAGAAGCTAATAGTATTACATTGATATTTATTTTTATTTTATCTGTGCACATTTATTCTACCAGGAATACTGCTCCGATTAACAATTGTAGCGAATTAACTATGGCATTGATGTTTTTTATTAATAACTGATAACATTACTTATTACATTTACGAGGGCTAATCAAAAAGTATCAAGACTGGTAGTATCATTCGGAAAAGGAGCATCGAAGAACAGTAGGATTGGTATCACTTGCTTCTATGACTTTTTCTGAGTGCATTTGTTTTTATTGCTTCTCTATAAAATTCTTAGGTTTGATTTCACTGATATTTTTATAAAATATATNGATGCAACATTTCATGGTTTTTGCCATTAAATATCATTGAAAAACTGAAAATGTGCCCTCGAGTGACAGCGAGTTCCGCTTCTTTTGGATTCATTACGAAATCGCCAAACGTGAAAAACAAATTTTAGAAAAATATCGTCAAATCAAAACGAAGAAGTTTATAGGGATTTTATACGAATAGATGAGCTCAATATAAGTCATAGAAGCTAGGTTTACAAATCGTTTTGCTCTTCAACGCTCGGTTTCCTAGTAATATTATCAGTCTCGATACTTTTTGATTAGCCCTCGTATATTTAGCAGTAAAATCACTGCTGTTATCTTAAGTAAAATTTTGAAAATCACTTTAAACATTTGACATAGGCAAATTAAATTAATAAGGGCATTTATGAAAAAAAATTAAATAATATATTTCAAACACAATTCTTTGTGACACAATAATCGATTTGAATTAATGTTTAAGCAAAACAAAAAAAAATGGACATAACTTCCTAATATTAAGCAGGATGATCCAATTTTCATGAACTCGAGATTTACTCGGAGAATTTTAATTGAATTAAATTTATTTTTTTAATCTTTTTTAATCAATCGTTTAAGCTTTATTTTAAAACTGTTTTAAACTGTTTATTTCCTACTACTCATGCATTAAATTAATATATATATTTTTTTTTTTTTTTTAAATAGGAACCCACATTTTAAATTCAGATTCCGATATAAAAAATATGTCAAACACAAATATCACAAAATATCAGATTAAACGTTTATGAGTTATAATACGTAATAATTTAGAATTGAAGACTAGGGAAGGGTCAAAAATTTCATATCATCATAAATTGAAAATCCAAAATATTTACTTATTTCTGGTATAAAGATTATGAGAAAAAAAAAAATATAAAAGTGTTAAATAAATTATTCCATAATGTTTGATAGAAAATATGGGCTTTTACACAATCATTCAATAATTTTGATGTCGCGTATAGTGGCCATATTTTCACCGATTTTTCTGCTTGAATTAACAACAATACTATCAAAATTCACTCTACACCATCATCACATAGACGCTGCATCTTGTGATAGTCTATTATCAAGACAGCTTCTATAATATTGGTAGTATACTCATCAGGCTTTATAGGTGAAGTGCATATATGTTGTACAGTAAAATTTCATAGAACGGTCACTGAAAGGACAGGGAATAATGACCGCTATTTAGAGGTGACTGTCCTTTAGAGGTTTTCTCATAACACTTGACGAGACCAAAAGAAATGATCGTTACACAGTTACACAAAGGTGGCCGTCTTTTAAAGGTGACCGTTAACGGACGTTTTACTGTACAACATTAATTAAAACGTTACGTAAAGTGGTAACGATAATTTGGTTTCAAAAGTGTGAATTTTACATTTTGTTTAAATGATTTATGAATCTGAATGACACTAAAGTAGGTATATAGGGTTGAGCAGACATTATTGTGAAGGACTAGGCTATTCACATATATGAAATAAATAGCGCGACGTATATAAATAAGCCTCGCTCTAATAAATAGGGAAAAATGCGTCCATATATCATGTCAAATATCGCTACCCTCGAATCTGATACTGATTTCAAGTCTTTTTTATAATATCATCGCGAGTTTTTTTGTAAAAATGTATTCGCAAGTTCATATAATATTAAAATTCAAAGGTGTGTACAAAATAGCATAAAAATGGTTAACCTACATGACGAACATGACCGACATATTTACATATAAACGATGCAAATGTATTGCCGATTAAAAAACTAGGGGTGGAGATCACTGAAGGCAAGTGTCAACAGAATAAAAGAAATAAAAAATGCTTAGTTCCGAATCTTTAAAGTATTTTATTTAAAATGATATTGTAATATGTGCCATATTATTACATAATTTTATCGTTTTTTGATGTCAAGACAAAATTTAAATTCACCAGAAAATATAATATTAAATAACCATGATTTTTATTGATTATAACCTAAAATATAAAGCAGGATTTGTGCGTGTTTTTACGTTAAATCCAATAGTAAATGCTGTTGAATAGAAATCATAAATTTAATTTTCTGGCGAATATTAATGCAATAAACCAATATATGTGGAGTTAATAACAACACAAATGTAATCCTTATATTTTTTCGATTGTTTGCGAATCTTTTCAATATAAAATTTGGTTTTATTAATACATGTCTAAATTTTTTGCCAAGATGAAATATTGAAAGTCTTCGCGAGTTCTTTTCGATACGGTTTGGAAGGATCAAAATAATATTTTACGGTTTTTTCTCGTCTAGACAACGTTAGATATTTTAACGTAAAACTTTCAATAGAATTTCTCTCAAAGTTTTATATAAATCAAATAATACATAACCTGAAAATCAATTTAATAAAACATAGCGCTTTCAATTTCTGACTTTTTTCCCCCTCCGTGCCACTTTGTACACATAAACATACCATCACTACAGACTTTAAATAAAACGTGGATTCAATTATTATCATCCCATATTAAATTGGCAATTTTTCTCTTTTATTAAGAAAACAACAACACAAATCAAAAAATTCGTATGCAATTTTTAATTGAAGCAATAGTTTTAGTAGAAAATGTATACGAAAAAAAAAAAGACATCCAAAGACAATGGAGACGACAGGTGCAGCCACTGTTATAGGTAATTTAATGTATATCTGTAAGAAACAATAAACCATTGTTAACAATTCTGAGCGCAGTTCAGTTGTTAGCGATGCATTTTAACAATATATATGTTATATTATGATAAAATAATAATATAGGCATTATATATTTTCTTTAACAATATTTGTTTAATATTGTATCGATTTCCCATGTTTTCCCATGTCTCTTACCAGATTATCTCATTTACTGAGAAAAACTCCTGGGGAAAGTCAAAAAATTACCTCCTTCAAGTACTTCTCTAGTCAGATTTCCTCTTTGAAAAAGTGCTATCATTATAAATAAATTGGAGCAAAAATATAAGTAGAAAAGTTGTTCACAAGAAAATAAAAGGCTGTAATTTTATCAACTTATAAAATAAATATTTTCGTACATTTCGTACATTTTTCTGTTTTTCTCCGCTTTTTTTGATTTTTCTAGTTTGTTAAGCAAACACTTGAGAAAATCATAAAATAACATGATTAAAGTATCTCCTTACGCTGATTTCTTTGCGGAAAAGGTATACTTAAAAATCGGAACAAGATATTCTGGTAGAATTGTTGTGCACAGATAAAAAAAAAAAACGTCTTTGTAAAACTATACATTTCTTCATTCCACTCAAAATCTAAAATATAATTGTTTTAAATTATAGCACAACAATTTCATTATTAAAAATCGTTGAGATTATATTTTTTTACCAAACATCTTTTTCTGAATTTAAAAAATAGCATATTTTCTGGAATAAAATGTTATCTTGTTTGTGAGTGAAAAGTTTTTTAATTTTTTGTATAGTTTTCCTAATAATTACGAAGAACCAGGAAAGAACGTAGGAAATATGGCAATGTGTACGGTATTTGGGTTTTTTATTGTTATTCGGTTAACAATTATCCAAATGACTCTAAACAACTACTGTTTTCACAAAATAATTATATTAGCCTTTTGCAGGTATGATAAGATTTACAAAAAATTCTAATTTTTTTAAGGCTTTTTTTAGATATTTGATATTTTCGTGTTTTTATATGTATTTGTATTTGTTATATGTATATGCCGTAATAAAAATAGAACACAGGTTGTACTAAGTGGTCTTAAAAATACATTTGAATATTATGCATTCATTTTTTTTACCAGAAAAGACAAATACAATATTTCTATCCAAATCTTAAGTTCATAGAGTCGATACGAATATTTTTAACTGAATTACAACAAATAACGAAATTGAAAAATAATAAAAGCATAATTTTCGTAAACTTCCCGTTTTTCTTGCGTTTTAAGTTATAGTCTCTATAAGTTATAGAGTTTTTAGAAATTGCATGCTATTTACATAATTTGTATATATTTATCCAATAATTAGTGTATTAGTGTCATTTGTTCCGTGTTTGTTTTTTCTAGTTAAATTTTATAAAAAATTACGGACCAGTAGCGTATTTTGCATAGGATGTACGCACATTCAGAACAACTATGCTCAGATTGGCTATATCGTACATCACTCCACTCCTCTTATAACCAATGATAAAAATTGTTGTCTCTAACCTGTAACTCTTCTGAAAGTAATTTATTGTTTTAGAAATATGCCTAAAACCTACTATTTAGTCGGTAAAAAACAACGACGAAAATCAAATATCATTAATTTCCCAGACAGCGTTATTGCTTAGAAATAATATGGCAACGCATATTAGCATGTATGATAAGGTACCTAATAAGCTTATTTCTGATTTATATTGCATATTAGGTAAAATGTGTCAAGACGCATTTTTTAAAGTATCTTATTGACCTACCTATTATACGGTTGTGGAAGTTTTGGATAGTTTGTACTAATTGTGGTGTACAGATAAGACACATAATTTAAAAAAAGAACTACGAACGTTAATTTTAGCGATGATATTTGGAAAAAAAGAGCAGCTAATAGTCAGAACCGGGCCGAAGAGAACATTCATTTGCGGCATATGAATTTGTAATGTCAGAGTTTATTTCGGAATAGTATCTCATTATTCGAACGGTCGCCATTATTAAAGACAAAAGGAGGTTAAGACCCGGCGAATTATGTATAACAATATTTGTAGTGGCAGCAACAGTGGTGCAGACGGTGGATGGCGTCGGCAGGATAGCGGACTCTCTCGGACGTAATGGATATTCCGACGAAGGACTGTTAAAGTTTTCAAATATTCATATGCACGATATAATCATAATAATATATATCAGGTGCGGGTGTGTGTGCATTTTTTTCATTCCTCTCATATACATATTATATAATAATATCATAGTAATATAAAACATTGGAGATAATAACACCGGGAAAAAAAATACATACGACGACCGTCCATGTAGAAATTTTGTTTTTCTCTCTTTGTTGACAGTAGTTGGGAAGAAGAGAAAACAACACCAAAATGCGTGCTTTAAATATCTTCGGTCCTGTAGATGAAGAGTTTAACATTTTCCAGAAGTTAATTTTTATAATTTCAGCAAATTAAAGCAAATAATACTTTTTTGAATATTTCTGATTGCCTACTAAAAATATATATCGTTTTAAATGGATTAAGTCACAGTTATATTATGACTTATGTCTTTTTGCCAAACAAAAAGGATATCATAGCGACTATCAAAGATATTTTAATATTCAATACATAAAACGTAACGTGTGCAATGGTACATTACCTGTGAAAATAATAGTTAACATTTTAACCTATTCCTTCAGTTATTTTAGTAGCATCCGGTATAAATTATTATAAAAATGTGATTTTATACAGATATTTAAATTTAACGGTACTAATAATGAAATAATATTTCTAATGTATGACTATTATTTCAAAAGCTAAATAAGGAAAAATAAAAAATAAATTACAAAATGATGGCTGACATGGTGGGACGCGTGTAGTGGAAGCTTTAGTCGTTATAGTAATGAGAACAACTGTCGAAAACTTAACATGCCGGGAAGCGATCGCTGCCGGGAAAACTAAGAATCATTATACGCCGACATAACCTTATAAAATAATAATCATTGGTAAGTAAAATGTACTGAATAGATATTTTTGACTAAAAAAATACGAAATTGGTTAACAGCGTATGGTTATGCTATAAAAATACTTCGTTATTCAACTAAACGAAGTGAAGAAGCTATTATAAAAATAAAATAGTTTCTTCGCTGATGTATTTTTATGTGAAAAATTATTTTTTAATTGATAATGATACTCCGAATTGTTCACACCGTAACTTATTAAAATATGTGAAATATCTGCTTGGCGATTTCAACGATACCTTACTTCAGCAATAGTTCAACTTTTTTTTAAAAAAATAATAAACTGACCATAAATTTGACTACACATCAGATTTTTTTTTTTGTTGATTTCAGTGTTGCATGGGTTACAAGGGGACGAAAACACAACTAATACTTTACAATTTTACTAAGTTCCACTCAGAATCGTTTTCTATCTCAATGATTTATCGTTTATTTCCAAATTTCTTCGTATAAATTAAATAACTATTGTGAATTCCTCTCTTTTTTTTCTGTCGCACTTCTCCCAGATATATGACTCGATATTGTGTCGCTTATATCTCATACAGGTGGTCAATATATAGTAAGACACTTATCTTCGAAAAAATTAAATTTTGTATGGAATTTGTTTTTTCAACGTTTAATTTATAAGTCGTTTTAAAATTTTACGTTATTCTTGTTTTTGTCACCCTTATTTAAAAGGGTTAAATCACTACATACTTTTGATTTTAAAATGAAAACCGATATAAACAATTTCTTAAATATATGGAGTATTATTCTAAATTATTTTTGGTATAGTAATTTATAATTTCAGTCTACCCATTGACGAGATATTTTACTTTTAATATTTATTGGGAGAAAAGGGGAGTGGTGGTGCATCATTTGTATGGTGGCATAAAATGTGCTGATGTGATACTATCGTTTATTTATATAAATATATATATATATATCGTTATTTAGTTACGCCATTATTCGTCATTATCCCCCTAGTATAAACTCAAATTGTAATTTATCTTAAACGGATTGATGAAAATCAATTATGTCAACACAGAAATATATTTAAACTAATACTCTATATATATATATATGGCATTTTTAGTATAGGTTGCCATTTGAAAATCAAAAATAAAAATAGATAGTGGTTTCACACTTAATAAGAAATAAGCAAAATATAATATTCTGGAGCTACTTATTTGTTAAATTTTTAAAAACATTTATTATTTTGAAAAATAGTAAGTATCTTACATTATGTTAATTATCCTGTGTATATAAATTTTTCCCCGTTACTTTTGAACATTTCTGTTCATGAATTAGAGTAATTTTATCGGTAGATTAAAGTTCATAGTAAAAGTTGATTTAAATTTCTAAAGCTTAAAAATTGTGTTGCGGATAGAGGTGGTTTTTAACTTCGTATTTCCGTATGACATTTTGTACATCCATGATTAGTGTGAAAGATGTACCTTTTTAAGCACATCACTCTGCCTCCTTTTTTTTTTTTTTTTAATAATAATATTTACAATTATCTCAAATTATCCGAAAATCTATAAGTTGAACAATTTTTAAAAAATTGTCCAATAATATCTAACAAGTCAGAGTAGAGATTGTTGTAATATGATTTTTCTTATTTTTGTAAATATTATGATACTAGTTCCACTTAGTTTCACCTAACCTAAAATACGGAGGTGAGAATTTGACTCTAGTGAAGGAGCTAATCATGAATGTCTTTTTTAAATACTCGCTGACGGGGTTTCTCAACGGAAATAAAACATACTCGTACCGTACCATAATTTATTGATTTTAACAATAATAATATAATAATCTTCTCGTAGCGTTGAACATAATTTAATAAAGTGTTTTTTTTTTTTTTTGCTATTAGTTTCCGTAATAGTCTTAAATAAAACATGTAATTATATTTACATGCGCACAGCTCGATGTTTTTCTCGCAGTCTCTCGCGTTCCATTGTTTAAACGCAAGTACTATTGTCTTCGTTTTTCAAGCGTTCGGTGTCTCGGTAGTTGTTGTTATTATTATTATTATTATTATTATTATACAAGCTCTTAGCTGTGTCGTTATCTCTATGAATTTTAATGATTCGAACGAAATATAAAAGTATGAGTAAATCTGGTGTTATAAAAGATATATATTAAAATGTCTTGATTGAGATTAGAGATAAACGTCAGAATAATTATCTAGATGGAATATATAATCTGATATAAAAGTTAGAAATTTTGATAAAATTTAAATATTAGAAAGGTTGTGTATTTGGTGTAACTAAATTATTTATTTATTTACCTACATATTAATATAAAATATAAATTTTCCCTATTTTTTCTTATGAATATATAAATTGTGATTTAAAAATATAATCTAAAAAAAAGATTATATTTATCTAGACGACTCAACTATTTATCTTAACTTATTTAACTAAAAAATTACCTTTCTAGATAAAGCCCAACATTAGGTATACCATACCATACTCCAAAAATTACACTGAAAATACAATAACCATTTTCTTATGTAAAACGTCGGTAAATCTACAAGAGAGATTATTTTATCAGTAGTGACAGTTTATATGTGTTCAGAACACAGTCTTCAAATATAAAAGGTCAAGACACTGAAAATATTCTCAGTGATGTTTTTCGGTAACTTAGTGAGGACGTTTAGGTTCACATTTTTACCATTTTTTTCAAAGTGCGCTTCAAACTAAACTTCATTAAGTTTATAATGTCGTAAATCACTAATATTTTCAAAAATGTCCATTAATATTTGAATATATACCAATTAAGAAGTTAATATTTAATATTAAATGATAGGGATAGGGTATGAAAATATCATGATGGTCAATTTTCGGGATTACACCGGTTATTATACAAAAACACAATTCACCTATGTTTTGTGTATTTATACCTAACTTTACCAACCAAAACAAACTGGCGTATAATACTTGCGAATTTGTTTGGAGTTAGTGGAAGATAAAATATATTATACCTACTTCAAAAGCGTATAATTTAATGGGAAAAAACATTTTACATCCCAATCCCCGTCTTCGATTTATAACTGCAGAGCAGACTGTATTTAACTACGAGAGGGGAGGCGAAATTTCGGTCTAAACGTACATAATATGTACAGTTACATTAAAGCCTAAAATTCGTACACACATGTAAAAGTATAAATGATTTATTGCGACACTCGGCTACTAACGTGACCTTCCATATAATATAATATTATAATATTATGTGTACATACCGGATGATTTATAGAACGCAAGCGCTATGTACAAATTCAAGTTTGCAGTCAATTTTTGTGGTTCCCAAAAATAAAGACAATGTAAAATAAAACACTTAGCATGTCGTTTGAAAGACCATAGAGATTTACCAATCGCTATATATCCTGAGTTAATAAAGATAATCAATTATCAATTATAAGATACTAGTATTAACACAGTGTTTACATAAATAATTGATGCACAATTAATTAGAGAACTTAGGTCGAGTAAATAAAGTATAGACCTTAATATAATTTAAAACTAAAGTAGTTTACCTAAAAAATAGCTTAAAGAAATAAATTTTATTGATTCTTACCTAACATAGCTGTATGCTTTTGGTGAGCAAATATACAGTGAAGTAGCAAATTTTTTAGTGTAACATTAATATCTCTAGGGTTCAATTCTTGCGTTTTCTTAAATTTTATTCAACAATTCTTAGTATTTTTTTTTCTTTTATTTTAATTATTTCAATATCTTTGAAATTTGAATTTTCAACATTTTTCTAAAAAATAAAAAATTCCAATAATAAAAATTGTTAGCATTTTAAACTCGAAAACATGACTTTTAGAATAATTGAGCATTTTATAGTTATTTGATTGTATTTTCCAAATGAAGTTTGAAAGACTTTTTGGAAAATACCATCAAATTGAATCACATATTTCGGGAAAAAAAATCGATTTCACTATTGCATTTAATTTTAGTTTTAGATACTCTTTTCTACTAAATATCAGTAATATCACAGCGTGTAAGCCTTTTAGTTTTTAATACCTTGTTAATAGTTTATTTTTGTTTGTTTTTAATTTAACTTTGCTATTTTCAAATGCTGGAAAAATGTATATGCATAATTGCTTAATTTTTCCATATTGTATATTAATATTGTCACTGCACCAGTTAGTAATATTAAACATATTATTAATTGTTAGTTAATATTTAAAAAATTAGATATATAATATAAATCATGTTTTTAATAATTGTATTACCAACTTATGATATCATGTTAAAATATCCCTAAAAAAAAAATATTCCCATGTATATATTAATTCAAAACCTGAACGTTCTTTATAAAATTTGTGACTATAAGAACAATAATCATACTTTATATTTGTATGACTTTCAAAACATAATAATGATACTAATAATAATTTTATTTCACCAATAACAGAAATTATTACGATTTTTATAAAAGAGTAGGTATTTAAAATTATTGATCTATTCATAAAATCTATGGCTATGATGTAAATAGAATTTATAATTATAATATTTAACACAATACAAATAAAATATAAAATATATTAAAATTTGTTAAAGCAATATAATATCATTAAATTATTAAATCTTGTATTATGGTTATAAGTAGAAATATCAACAATGTCTTTATGATCAAACATAAATAGACATACATTTTTAAGGTATACTAAAATGCATTTAAATTATTAAGGTTATAATCTTTGAAGATACTATTAATAGGATATAGTCCTGGCTTAAAAAAGTGAACTTTATTGGAGGTATTTAATTTATTATTATATATATTGTAAGAGTCTCCCCAGAAAAGTAGACCGTAAGTGTATACAGACTGAACCAAGCTAGTGAATTTTATGATTATCAATTGGGGTGATAAAATATTCCTTAGAATACTAAAATATAAACAAATTTTTGAATAATATTCTTTGTATAATTAATACATATGCTCTATTTGAGTTAATAATCAATTTAAACTCTTGGATATTTATTAAAACTGACTTTTTTGTAAGTACATTTTTGAACACTTTTTAGATTTGAAGATATACTATTATCTACAACAACATTATACTTTGTATCATCTACAAAATAAGTGTTAATAATAAAATGTAAATAGCAAAATTTTTCAATGTTTAAATGCAAAGAGTTATTTTCAAACCACTTTATAACTAACTAGCTGACCCGACAGACACTTTCCTGTCTTAATTATAAATATTGAATTCGAATTCGTATAATTTATAAAAATAATATTTCAAAAAAAAGTGACACAATCCAGGAGCTTCATTTTTAAACATAAATGCCTTGCAATATTGGCACAAAACGTTCATTGGTCAAATAGACACGATTTTCTGTGTACTTTTATCGATTTTCACGTTATAATTGAATGCAGCTCGATAGGGATTCAACGCAACATTTCTATATTGTTCATTTCGATTACATCGATTCTGTTCAACTTCATTCCGTGCTTAGCGTTTCTCGTCAATTTGACTTGCTGTTGTATATCTTTGACTCACAGCATTGCAAGTTCTGCGACTTAAGTTTGTACGTCTAATTGCTGGCATTTTCAAAAACGAAAATTCAACTGTAAATTAAAGAAAACTATTATATTCTTCTTTATGACCAAGTATATCACTTAGTAACGTGTTAGTCCATTGCTGTGATTATTTGAGATTTTCGTTTTTTTTTTTTTGGATTTCAGTAATACTTATTTTTGTTGTTTTGGTTTTGACAAAAAGTAACAACAGGTTTACAACTATTATATTCAATTATAACCTATAGTGACCTTACAATAAACAAAAATATAGTTTATTTTATTTCTGGACAGTGACGTTTTTACATCCAGATTCCGTACTTTTCCGGTGGATTTTCTTAAAATTGTATTACATAAGAACCTTCTCCTGACAATTATGAAAAAAAAAGAAAAAAAGACTTAAGGAAACGGTTCCACCGTTCACGCGTGATGCAATGACCACGGGAAACAGGGATCCATTTTTATATATATAGATGATAAACTTTCATTAGCTTTGCCATAAACCTTATCTAAAGAGGTATAATTAAATAGCACGACTGTATCATCTACATAGCAGATTATTTTACCATTAATGTTGAGATATAATAATCCATTTATTTACATTAAAAATAATATATGACCTGAAACTATGCCTTGTGGGATACCAAAAGAAGTTTCAATTTCATCACTAAATAAACTGTCTATATTAACCACCTGAATTCTATTCGTAAATATGTTTTAAATAAATCTAATGTTAATCCTCGAATGCCACAGAACTCAAGATTTTTAATCATAATATTTTAGTCCATGAAATCAAAAATTCTCCTTTATATCAATAAAATATTCCCAATACTTTATGAACATTATTAATATTTTCATAAATGTATTTTGTGACATTAAAAAAAACAAGGTTGATAGATAATCCCTTCCTAAAGCCAAACTAATTATTACTAAGAAAACATTTTTCATATCAAAAGACTTAATTTAGCTGTTTTTAATACGTTTTTCAAAGATTGTATTAATTGATAAGATCAAAGCAAATCATCTGTAATTTTTACATAACTTAACATCATCATTTTTTAATATTAAAGATAGTGAGAGATTTTTTAAATATATTAGCTAACATTCCAGATGAAAAACCGATAAAGAGAATAACATACATATAACATTACATATATTTATGAGAACTTTATTAGCAATTACGTTTTTTATTATAGTTGGCATTTATTTTAATATTCTTAAGAAAATTAATCATTTCACTTTTGGTAACAAGGGACCAACAAATAGACTTGTAGCGATGCCCAGTTAGAACTGGTCCAATCTAATTTTAAAAACCCATTTTTTTATATCCTCAGAAATATTAATATCTATAATACCCCATCAAAATATTTTTCTCCAAATCTAATTACAGTTATCAATCCTCTTCTGATCCAAAGTTTTAATTTTAAAAATGTATAAGCTTTATTATTTTTAGTTGTAGGATTTAAAATTATAAATTAATCTATTTTTTAAGGAACTTATCTAAAGCGACATTTAATTCCAAATTAACAATAATTTCAAATTTCCAGTTTAATGTACTGATTAAATGATTTAGGCTGTTATAGTTTTTATACACCGGATCTATGTTATTAATATCATTAATTTAATTAAAATGGCTATTATCAAAACTATTACTACAATTCAAGTAACATAAATTACCATAATAGTGTGTCCTAATATATTTCAAAAATGGGTATAAATATTATTTTTATATACATTATTTACATATATGTGATCAATACAGAAATTATTAGAGAAGTTGGCCTATTGATAATTTGATAACAATTAAAAGCTGTTAACACATTAGAATATTTAGAGATATTGTCATTAGTATTAAAATTAATATTAATATCAATAGATATATAAGTAGTTTTTTTTTTTTTTTTTGTATAAATATGTTTCTAAAAATTAAACAAAATTAGTAGTATTTTTAAAAGAAGACCTATACAAACTTAGTGCATTCAATTTTGTATTATTATTTTATATAAATATTTCTATTGAGTCCAAGAACACATGTAAAAAAATGAAAATATTATTTTAAACTAAAGTAATAAATCAAATTAAATTACTCAGACCAAATTTACAACTAAAATATGATTGATTTCTAACAGGCATTTATAAAATCATTGAAAGTATTAAACAATGATGTTTAAATGTATGCATGTTTTATTTTTTATTTTAAATATTGTTTGTGGCAAAAAATACAACTGTGTGGGTTAAAAATATGTTTTCCATATAAATAGATAGAGTATTACTTTAAATACATTTTAGTGTAGACATTTTTTTATTTCTGTCAACGAAATATGTTTGGCAGCACAACACGTGGCTTTGAATAGAACATCACCGAATTAGACATTAACATGCAATTTTAAATCCTTTACTTTATTGAAAGAAAAATTAAAATATTTAATAGATTTATTTTCAACCATAAAATATACAAAAAATCACACATCTTTAATTTACACAAAGAAAATAATATTTGCGGATGTTTGTAGTACCTACATCGATTAACTATGTATGAAATTATTATAGTATTATGATATTACAAATTCATAATAATATGTCATATGGTCTTATGATAATATAATAAATATGATTATTATTAACTATCAATAATTATTATTTATAATTGTGATAACACATTATTTATGATGTGTCTTGGCAAAAATAATTCAAAATGGACAATCAATGTAACTGGTTAGTAAGAAACAAATTTGGATTTCAATAAACTTTATAAATTGTTTAAAAATTAATGACTTAACTTATATGATAGTTTTAAACACTAAAATTGTTTGTAAAAATTAATTTATAAAATGGCTATCTTGGATTATAAATAAAAATGTTATTAAAAATATTTAAAATTTTCTTTTTAGTTGTAACAAAATATAATAAAATAAAAATATATAAATTATATCGCCGACTTGTTATAATAATTAAAAAAAATTTGAAAAATATTCAAAAGAAAAAAAGTCATACCTTTGTCAAATAGTCCAGTTAAATTCTGTATAAAATTTTCTTTTAGAAAAAGTTCTACACTTGATAAATCGGAGCAAGATTTCTGGTAGAAATTTTATACACAACATAAAAGAATAATTATTGTAAAACCAATACATTCCTCGTTTCCCTCAGAATCTAAAATAAAACCAAAATCAAAAACAAATTACATAAAATAAATGTTCATTTGTAATTTATTAAAAATATTTTTCAGTTGTTTTTTCCGATTTATACAGAGAATTTCGGGAGCAATCAAAAAATTACCTTCTTAATTTATCGATTGGATAATATTATTTGCCTTTAATAATTAAAAGATTTAGAATAAAAGATATGCTAGATAATTATAATATGTTCTCCGGTATTGTTTTAATAATAATAATAATAATAATAATATTTATTTTACTTATATGAACCATGTTACTTCGTTTTCAATAAAATAAAGTTACTGCAATGTGTGCGGGTATTTGATACATTCGATTTCCCAGAAGAATATTGCTCGTTCGGGGTCGGCATACTTACGTATAGGATGATGTAATATGAAACGTGGTATATAAAAGGTTATTACTATTATCTTTTAGAAAATTGAATGTTGGCAATGATTTTAGATATAATGAGAAAATATATGGTCTGCGCGCATGTGGGTAATAGAATCTAAACAGGAAAGCTTCTGGTCCGGGAGGCGATGATATGTTTTCGGAGTCGGTCTCCACCCGCGAATTCAATCGAGATCAAAAAATAGTCCGACTGATATTATTATTGTGTTGGCAACACACTCGGGAACTCGTTTGCTGCGAAGTAAATCGAAAACGTTACGCGGAAAATAAAAATTTTACGTTTTACGTTTTATATTACCGTTTGTATAATAATAATAATAATAAAAATAATAATAATAATAATAATAATAATGATAATGATAATAAAATAACTAAGTCTTTTTTTTATATCTAAAGTAATTTTCACAACCATTGAAATCAAGTTTATAGCACAACGATTTCATTATTTAAAACTATAAAGAAAAAATTATCTATTTGAAACCCTAGCCCAAATTTCAAGAATCTTATTATTTCTGAGAGAAAACTCTTTTAATTTTGTGGATAAGAAAATCGTTTTTTTAATTTTTCGTATGGTTCTTTAATAAAACGGGAATAGAATGTAGAAAATGCAGCAAAATGTATGGAATTTGATTTTTTGGTTAAAAAATATTGTAGAGACCTACATAATTTAAAAAATTACTTAAATATAATAATAATTACTTAAAAAAATAATTATTATATTGGGCTTCTGTATATGTGATCAAATTTTCCAAAACTATCAAACATTTTTAGGTTATTTATAGGTCTTCGATTTTCTCGTGTTATATATGCATTTTCCTTTAGTACTGATCTTTTATTGGAATTATATTTCTTAAAATATATAATTAGTATAACTTTCTTTTTTCCTGTGGAAAAAACTTTTCTAACAGCAATTTTCCTCTAATTTAAAATTATTGTATTGTATTTAAAAGAAAATTTCACTAAGGAGGTACTTTAGAGAGGTCATTGTTCGATTTTCTTAGTAGATTTTTCATCATATTTGAAAAACCAAAAAAAAAAGAAAAAAAAAAGTGAAAAACGTAAGAAAATTGGGAAAATCGGTACAACATTTAAATATATAAAGCCTATTTAATTATTTTACAATAAAACGATATATATTGTAGTCAAAGCATCATTATCAACTGAACTCTTTTTAGAATCGTTTTATCGTATAGATAATTATACAATAAATTAGGTTTAGATAATTTAATTATCTATAATAGTGGCTGTCTCTATTACAACAACGGTAATAATTATTAGGCTTTCAAACTCGTTTAAAATAAATAATAGTTATTATTAGTTTACTTGATAAATCAATAAAACATATTTTATACAAACGTACGATAATATGATATTTACATTATTATTAATAACTATACTAATAAAAAATTACTAGATTATTTTTTGATATTACTCTCATCTGTACACACGGCGTAATGTATAGGCAAAATTAATACGCGCACGTGTAGGAAAACAACTATTACACTTCCATAATATGATTATTATAAAACATGTCGATTTTATGATATGACAATAATAATAATTGTAAATTTGACATAAATTCATAACAATAACTTTTTTTAAGTTTTTTTGTATGAAATAAGATATTTATTTTTTAAAGACAGGCTAGTTTTAAATTTAGATTAATTTATTGCAACAGGTAAAATCCAGTTAATCATCCGATGCAATAAATAATTTTCCTTAATTTAGTAAATAAAAAATATGACCATACAGTAATACAACATTAAAACAATATTAAGCTTTTTTTTTTAAAATATGAACACAAGATACATTATAAGTTGTTCTTAGTGGTTTAAAAAACAAATTTGAGTTTAATTCATTAGTGATTTTGTTCATAATCGTTAGAGAGAAAATTTCGACGGAAATCCTAAGAATTCTCGTAAGAAATGGTTTATCTTTGCGTACAAATATCAAGTAAAGAATTTTATGTATCCTACCTTCCTGACTTTTTTTTTCTTTTTAAGTACAATGCATTTATAAATATCTTAATCTACCTACGTGGACGAACCTGATATACTGCTCTAAGAAAATTATCAGGTCCTATGTGTAATTCTACTAAAACTATAACGGGCTGTAAATTTACAGATTGCTTGGGTCATCATTCTTGGACACGGTCTGTAAAAACGCATTTTGTCAATAAAAATAAAACCTAAATAGGTACGTTCGTTCGAAAATCATTCCAGATACATCTATATAATATTTTTATAAGAAAATACATGTAGGTATTTTTAAATCGTTTTGCTATTGAATATTTATTTTGTCTCAATGTTTTCGTTTTGTATCGGCACTATCTATCCAGTGCAAAAACTTCAACACTGAAATTTCATATTTTTCATAATTTGTTATTCCAATAACTTTTAAAATTTTATAATTATTTGAAAAAGTTAAATTTGAAATGTGAAAAATATATAATATTATATGTATTACGTTTGTTTAATTGAAAGCTACTGCTGCTTTTGTAACAAAAAAAAAAAAACTTTATTGAAGACTTAAATATATCATTAGTTACGTGTGTTTAAAATTGAATTTATTATATAGTATAATTTTTGAATGTACGTAGTTTTTAAGTGATATTAAAAACATAATAATGAATGAAATATTATTTCTACCCTATAATTTATTGACTTTGTATGTTATTTTCATAGACTTAGCTCTACTTTAATCGAATTGTATATTTTGTGAATTCAATTATAAATCTGTCAATCAATTATAATAACTATAACTCAAAACTGAGAGCTTATGAGTTAAAAGTTAACTTATTACCTTAACTAACTTATTTGCTATTTGATTTAATTTAACTCTAATTTTATTCACTTGTTTTTACGTTAACTTGAAATCAACTTAAATGTATTGTGTTATTCCAAATTAAGTTAATTTTGAATATTCATATAATCCAGAAAAATATCTAAAACACAAAATGTGGAAATAACTAAATAAATTGTATTTTAGTTACTTATAACTTATAAAGTAAAAGTAATTAAAATGTGGAAAATTATAAACTATGATAAAAAAAATAATAATAAAAAAATAACAATAATAAGATAATATACTTGCAATGAATTTTATTTTTATATTTACAGATGAATCTAATTTTTCATAATAATGAAGACATAATAAATAAAGGCATAATAATAGCCAAGACCAAGGAATTATATTTATAATACCTACTTGGGTAATACCCAGGTACTAACTATCTGTTGTTAAAAACTAATATATAACTGTAAAAAGGACGGACATACTTTAATAATATTTGTTTAATATTGCATATATTTTTCGGTTCTTCCAAGTTTTCCCATTTATTGAGTAAACTTATGGGAAAATCGAAAAGTTACCTCTCTAAAGTACTACTCCAGTCAGATTTCCTTTCTAAAAAAATTGCTATCATTGTAAATCGGAGCTAAATCGCTTAAATTTGAAATAGTGACTTATGCAGTATTTGTATGCATACGATTTTACCCAAGTTTTTATAAAATCCAGTTTCAGTATTTTTACCGCGTAGTGCTCTACAAAACATCTGCAGGCTGCAGGTACTTACGTGCAATTATAAAGAAATAAAATAACCAAAAGAATGGAAAAGAAAAAAGAATACATACACTAGTAAAATAAAATGTTATTATAAACCATTTAAGTACCAAAACTAACTTTCTTAGTATACGCCAGTTCTGCTCCGAAGATCTGAGAATAAATATAAAAAACCAAAAAATAATAATAATAATAAAAAAAAAATTATTAAAAAAATAACCCACACATGTTTCACAAAAATAATTTGTGTACTGGTGTGTGTGTTTGCGTACGGTTGGTTTTTTGTACGAAACATAAAATGCACTTTGTCAATGTCGAACACCAAAAACAAATTGTCCCGCCAACCAGCTGTTCGTGTACAGAACGCGCACACGGGAATACGCGTTTTTTATTTTTCATTTTTTTCTTTTTCCTTTATCCCTCACCTCCGTTCCACTATATACCTTTCAAAAAATTCGCTTCGTCCTGACTGAAGGCTGTTTTTTTTTCCAAAAGTTCCCACGGGGCTCGGCCTTTTGTCGACTGCTAAAAAACATTTGTTATTTATAAATATTATATTTACGATACTATTAAATATAGGAGATTTGATTTATCAAAGACTCCGATTCAAACGGAGACCAATAGAACGCAACGAAACTATGAGTCCTCCGAAGGGGCCACCACCATTACCGAGTACTGATTACGGAGTATCTATAAAGTCTAGTTTTCTCCTTTCTTGTCCATGGTATTTCATTTTATTACAAATATTTTTAAATATTAATTTTTTGTTACCGATGAACTAGTTTGTAGAGATAGTAAGGTAATATAGCTGTTTTTCGTTTTTCTAAGACGTAACATTATTTGCGTCGAACTGTCTTTTTTTCACTCTGTTATCCTCTCTGATCTGTTATTATCTAATTCATAACATCTCCATTCTGTTACTATTATAAATTGCATCAAAACATTTTTTTTTTTATCTTCCTCTTCACCTCTTTCCTTCTATGATTATTTTCATTATAATTCTTCTTGTTTTAGATTTATGTTTCCGTGATATACCCAAACTATTTCAGTTTATGTCCTCCTATTTTTTCTACTACAGAAACCATGCCTAAGCTACCTATTATATAGGTACTTATTCCGTATCCTATATTCTCTCGTCACTCCACTCATCCACCTGAACATTCTCATTTCTGATACAATTATTCTCTATTCCATTTTTTCTGTCTATCACTTAATACTCTGAACCGTTCAAAATAGTAAATCCTACTACATTTTTGTAGAACTTAACTTTAAATATTATTGTAATTATTTCATCACATAAAACACCTGCCAGTTCACTATAATTTTTCCAACCACATGTCAGCCTATGTTTTATATTCTTATGAAAGATGCCATTATTTCGTACACAGGATTTTAAATAATTAAAACTCTTGCCTCATCTATGACCACTTATTGTCGTTAGTTATATTATCCTCTCCCTCCAAACCCTTTGTTTTACGAGTACTTCTACTTATCCTTAGACTCCTTATCTTTCAAGTGCTACTTTCCGTTTTTCAAGTTTATTATTAACTTATTTCAGATACCTAATAGTTATCAATACTAAAAAAGTATTACACCAATTTGAACTCGTATGTGAATTTTCAATTTTGAATACAGCGTATAGTCACTAAAATTATAATTTAAATGGTTAAATTTATATAATAAAAAATCCAGGTTTCTAGATTCAAAATTTTACACTTAACCGTCGAATGAAATTTAGTTCAACGCATATCGCTCATACGATATTTTATTGTATTCGGGTGTTTAGATTTGATAGTTTTATAATTTAAAAATCAAAATAAAACTTCAAAAGCCTTAAATTCTGGTCCCACCATTTAAACAAATTCAAAATTTTTTTCTCGTGCGATTATTTTTTTTTTACTTTAAGACAATCTCCTTTTTTTGCATTTAAAATATGCTCACACTCGCTCTTGTAATCATTACTGAATTTTCGAATTGGATTTGGCTAGGTATACTCCAAGGAAACAACATCATTTAAAAACTCATTCAACTATATTTCATAAATACGGACTGAAACTTTTTGATCCCTTATATATTCGAGGAGGCGAAAGTTTCCGAAGGCTTTTCCGGGCGTGGTGAAAACTGAAAACTTGAAGGAGCTTAAACTACGATATATAGTAGTCTCAAGGGAAAAAATTCTCAAAATGCAATAAGTGTAAGTACAGAGGAGTATTTAACACAATAACTGTATTTATAGTGACGTGTTGCAAAACACCGTATATTATATTTACCTTAGCAAAACATATTATATAAATAATACACTCAATGAGTTTTAAAGTTTTTAAATTGGATACATCGAACATTTTAATATTCTTACGTTTGACGCTTAAGATTAATTCTTTAAACGTCACCTTCACTCGACTAGTCAAATTTCCTATATTATTTCTAATTCTTAGACGGAAAAAACAAAATTACTTTTACGTGCAATCTCTTTCAATTTAAACATAATTTTTAAACAAGTCTATAAAATAATTGATTTTAAACTTTATAGTATATAATATTTATCAATTAAATTTTGTCGAAGCACACACTACCACGTGAATTATGTAAACTGTTTGTTTTCTCAAAATTATAAAATATAATATTGGATCATCATTGTATCTGTAATTTAATAATTATAAACTGCATACAGTTTAAACTAATATAGGGTATAATATGAACCAAAACGAGGAATCATGGATATAAAAATCTATAAATCACTTAAAAATTGACATTTTGGTGTGAAATTGAACCACATATTCTTTAGTATCTATCTGGTTATTAATATTTAATACGCATTAAACATTCAATTAAGTTTCAATAAAGTTAAGGTTTAAAATATGTTTTCTTTTTCTTAGTTTTACCTCATATAAAACATACTTCAAGACAAACGGGGGATCCCACAAATACTATTCACTTCACATAAATAGTAATATAATTTACTTCTATGGTATTGTGAAATTACCTGATTAATAAGAAAGAAATCTAAAAATTAAAACCAAAAACAATGTATTGTGTACACTGGAATAATAAACATTAATTTGTTTTACATACACTTTCCACATATACTTAATGTTTAGGTAAAGAGTACCCCAATTCGCCCCAACCAGGCTTCTATCCTATTGTATCCCGATGTACTTTCTTACAACCATTGTTTATAAATACCATGTTTTAAAAATGTATACTCGTAATACTAATAAAATGATGTTAAGAACATTTGTTATGCATTGAATACAACATTTTCATAAAAAGTTACAATAAACAAATAATATTAAAATTTAAAGACAAAATATCAGTTTATTATATCATACAACTTATAAGAAGTGCATGTGATAATTTTAATTTATTATTGATAGGATGATTATAATATGAACATAAAAATTATTATTACGTCATTTTATTACAAGGGAATATGTATATATACAGTTCGTAAATTATAGTGTGACCGGCAAAAATATTATTGAGAACGGTCATAATTGTCAAAACATTTTTTAGACCCGTTTGTTTATTACGATTGAGAACGCTCTGTTTTTATAATTCCACGCAACATTTCCAAATATCTAGTAATCTGACAATTCAACCAATCAAAAATATATATATATTTTTATACTGTAATCGAGTTTAACGATTACCTATTGTTTTTTTAAGATAGCATATTAATGAATCCATCACTAATGATTATCTGTATAAACACAACGAGAACGAATTATTTGCAACAAATAATTAAAATATACGTATCAGTGTATTTAGTACGTGGTTTTCTGTATTATGCGTTTTATATCCGAAATATTTAACGTTAATACTTAAATAAAATGGAAAATAACCAAGACTTATATCTGAACGTGGTGGAAATTTAATTGTTTTAAACTCCCACAAATACCGTTTTATTATACATTTATATTATAAAATTTCACATAAGTTTTTAATAATTTATTTATGAATTATGACTTAAATATATTTCGGCAACGTTCCACATAAATACATTCTCAATAATACTGTTTTAATGGGTCATCGGCTATTTCATCGTTTTATTTATCAATGGTATTGTAGCCGTGTGATCAATAACCAATAAAAAAATTAAAATTAAAATGTCCCTATAACGGAAGACGTTTTGGAATGGTTGCCACTACTGATGGGTAATCAAATTGAAAAGAAACACATATAAAGTATTTTATACCTGTACGCACACATAAACCATTGTTAACGAAAAACGATTCTGAGTGGAATATTATTAATCATTTTCCTTCTTATTTCCAAGGTAACTTAGAAATCTTCAAAATATTATCAGTTATTCCGTTATTTTATAAAAAATGACTTCATCAATGCACAAATAAGATCAGAAATTAGACAAGAAAGTAGCTATAAAGTTTTTGATTAAAACATGATTTTTGGTAGTTTACAGAAAATAAAACACCATATAGATTCCTAACATCGCTCAAAATCTAAAAACTTTTAGCTTAAAAGAGAAAAATAGATTATTTAGAATAGAATATATTTTTTTTAATTTAGATTTAATAGGGAAAATAAAATAAAACTTTTAAACCAGATGAGGTTCGGGGTTAGCTATGGTCTTGAATAATAGGTATTCAACATATACGAACAATTTTTAATATTAAGAGGAAAAATATTTCTTTTATAAATATAAATCAAAATGGTGCGGTAGGAATACCTATAATGATTATTATTCGGTAGGTTTTTTTTAAAAGCAGTTTATCAATATCAAATGGGAAAATGAAAATTGGCAGGTTGTTACTCCTATTATTATTATTTGTCCAACATAAAGTAAAAACATTATACGGTTTTCGTCGATGCTTAATTAGTGAAATGGTAACTGTATACCAATTAAAAAAATAAAATCAAAAAGTAATAATTAACACGAAATGATATTATAATAAAATCAAATCTGTACATTTTTTTTTCAAGCTTTTCATACATCGATTTCTTTTAATTACATTATTTTCGTGGTGAAATATTTATATTTTTTATATTTTTGTTTGATTTAAAATAATTCCCCTACATGTAAATTCAATAATAAACACCAAACTGCAGTAATATTATTATAAAGAATATAATTCTACCGGAATTCCTATTACATCTATAATCTTGAATATCAAAATTTAGTTTGATTTATAAAATCATATTAATTTGTATAAATCTAAGAAATACACATATTTTTTTATTTTAAATAATTTTTTGAAAAGTTAAAAACAATGGTTCTTTTTTTTCCCCAAACAATTATGATCGACTGACCTATTAAGTTATAAATAATTAGGTAGTGATTCTAAATTTTTGTTAATAATAATTGTAGATATATTGTTTCATTTTTTTATTTTTGTTCATATTATACTAGTAGAACCAGCTAAGCTTTGCTGTTGCTGGATAATAGTGTAAATAACTTTAATATTAATAATATTTATGTCAATAATGATGATATTAATAATGACTGTTTTCTAGTTCAACTAAAAACATAATTTATATAATCTTAAAATCCACAAAAAAACTTGAAAATGTCAAAATTTCCTTGGAAAAATACTTCGAAAGTATTTAAAAATCAAAAAAAAATATACATGTGTTTTCCCTTTTACCGGATTTAATAAATGAAATATCCATTTCTAACACCAAAAAAATGATTGATAAAAAGTAATTCTTTTTTATAATACGATATAAATGCGGTCTCTTATGATAACCAAATTATCATACATGTCACCAAGGTAACCTAT